GCGGCGGGGACCGGCCCCGGTAGCCGACCGCTCGGCCGGGGGTGGAAGCTGCGTGTCCCGCCTCGTCTTGCTCTCCCTCGCTGTCCGTGGGTTGGCAGTACACGTGTGTGCGCGAGGGTGGGCGTATTTCTCTGCCTGTGCAGGGGGAAAGTGGTAAAAAGAAAGTAACACTGTTTCTTCAACCGGTCGGGGCAGTTGAACCTAAAGTGACGCTTGGGGCACAGGAAAGAACCTCTTTCTTACGTGCTTATCGCTTGCTTTCTGTTTAGTGCGTTCCATATCTACAGCTGCTGCTCAACCACTGCTTACTGAGCTGTTTTTCCTACAGCTGCTACAAGCCGAGCTGCATTCCCCAGTCATTGTCTTCTGTCAGGACACGGTCAGGGCTTGGATGCAGCGTGCAGCTGCTTTGCTGTATTGGAACTTAAAATCCACTTTTATTAATGAAACATAAGCAGATGCAGTGAATACTGCTCTTCTCCGCTCTTAATTACAACCACTAGTTAAGAACTAGCAGGTTTTTATCTACTTCAGCTGTAAGGTATAATTAAACCATTACTGCTGTTATCTGTATTGTTGAACAACTGAGAGATTGCATACACAGAGTCAATTATAGAATTTGGGTATAGCACAGATTTGGTCTGGATTGTAAAAACCCCACAATTTATAAGTGATTAACAGTGCAACTTCTACCTGCCCTTCTCTTTCGATTATATTAACAGTTCTGCTTTGTTTGCTTTTACAAGATATACTTGTTTGTTATGTTTGTTTCTAAATGTTGGTCAATTAACTCACAATTATTACCTAGCATGAGTTAACAAATGCTTTTCAATTAGTTGTCCCCGGTATGGTTTTTTTGCTGGTGTTCCCAAACTGATTAAAATACAAAGCTGTTTTCCAAATTCAGGGTTATTCTCCCTACTGTTATACATATGCAAATCCTATTAATCTGAGTTATGTGCTCATATCAAGAGGATAATGTTTCCCAAAGGATTTAAATTACCTCTTCTACCAAAATTAATGTAGCTATGCAACATCATAAAACTATAGACAGATATGGATTCCTTTTGCATATTTGATACTGAATCAGTCCACATACAGAAATTAATTTTTTAATTTTCTGAAAGACTTCCTCCAGTGCGACACTAGAGGAATGTGGAATGTGCTCTCACTTTTGGGTGGTGATCTTTTGTTTTCTTTATTATGATTAGCAATATGGCATGGCCCCAGCTCTTGATGTCCATCTTTGGCTTTACATATACATCTTCTTAAAAGCAGTTTTCTAATTGTCTTTCTAACATTCTGATTCAGGCATCTAAAAGCTAATCCCAAATTACTTCTGAAAACTTGGGCCTCCATCTGTGACAGTTGTCCAATAGCATAATCCCTTTCCTGGTCCTGTGCCAGCTGACAAGTTCAAGTGTTTTTTACAGGTTTTGACCTATTACAGGTTTTGACAGATTTCTATTCTTCCTGTTGCAAAATATTATACTTTTAAAATGGCAATGCATAGTAGGTGGCTTTCAAGCTTGATAAATTAGCAGAGGTGATGACTGATAAGGAAATAGACGACTTAAAACTCTCACTAAATGATACAAGTTGTGTGAGCTTTTCCTTTGCTTCCCTCTTCGTGCAGCTGCTTGGGGAATCCCTGTCCGAATTTTATCGATGTTTGTTAGGGGAAGGAGGGACTACCACATCGAGTTGATCTGTTCAGGTTCTCTTTTAGCCTTTCAAGTGTCAGTCACTATGGAGGTACTTCTATATACAGACAGATAGTCTTACTTCTTCCTAGCCGAAAAAGAGTAAGCTTTGTGCTGCAGTCCTGTGCTGCAAAGTTGATTCTAGCAGAGTGGCTTCTTGTTAAGTGGTGCAAGAAGTCGTCTTTATCTCAGCTGCCATGGGACCCTCCTGAGATCGTTCAGGGAGGTCACCAAATGTCAGTCTTTGTTTGAACAAGGCTGATTGTCTACTTAGAATTTAACCTGGGAATGGAGACTCAAGGAGAAAGCAAGCCAATGCCTTGGATAAGGTGTAAGGCTAGAATGACTGCAGTAGCTCTACTAAGGGTCAGCAAAGAGGGGGTGTTCCTTCAGAAAGAATATATTTAGCTTCCATGCTGTGAAATGAAGGAAGGGGAGCTTTTGAATGTGAATATATGCCACCCACCCCGACTTAAAAGTGTGCACCAGTGGTGCAACTGAACAGAAGTCGGTGGCCCAAGGAGTGCCGGAGCTGGGCTCTGAAGGTGGGGAGAGAGAGGTAACGATAGAGCAGACCTGATATGGATGGTGCAGCCTGTGCTGGCTATGAAGCCCAGATGGCTCGCTCGGCCCTGAAGTGCAGCACAGGTTTTAAGTGTACTGAAGTCACTCAGTAATCTCACTGAAGTGGCTGGATCCTCAAGTGATGTAAGTCATTTGTTGACTTCAGCCAGGGATCTGAGCCAGACTGTAGAAACATACATCTCTGCTTCCCTTCAG